TATAGCCAAGAAGTCAGTAGCTTAATTCATTTTATTTTATTTTTAGCTTGATTCTTTAAAAATCTGCGTGTAATTTTATGGTCATTCAAAACTGTATTTTATAATTCAATTCTACCTGTAGTTTTGCATTTTCTATCTTTTCTTCTGTGGATATAGAAGATGATAAATAAGATTAAGAGGCCTACAATGTGAGGGTTATGTTAATGAGCATTGTCTTTGAAGGAAGAAGATCATGTATCATTGTATACTGTAGTGTATTTAAACATATTGTTTAATTTGATCAAACGGCTACCTTAACTTTTCTGCCTTATTTAGTATGTAACAGCCAGCAACATTAATAGGAGACTATTCTAGAATGACATAAATGTCTTGAGTATATTGGGTGAATCATGAAGAAGATAAGTTGGAGAACTGCAGGCATGCGTTTTCTACAGCAAAGTTTATTTCAGGAGAAGCCACGAGATAGCTTTGAAGCTAACTGAATTTTCTTAATTGACTGGATAAACTGAGATTAGAGATCGAAAGGGAACATACTGAAGAAAAGCTGGGTTTGAGAGTGACTGATAAAATGCCCTGGTAGTCAGTGGGTATGAGAGCAGGAAAGCTGTCTTTGCCCCTTCCGTCATTTGTCATGGACCCCTTGCCACCTCCAACAGGTGGGAGTGTTGACCTTGGGGGCACTAAGAATGGAAGAGCTGGGCCTGCCCCTCACCAAGTGCAGCAGTCTGGAGAGCAGGCCCTGTATCTGCCCAGGGCTTTTTAGAGCTGGTCCTGGTGGTGTGAGTGAGGGTGAGCTGGACCTACTGAAGGTGTGAGAACAGAATTAAACCTGCTCCTTGCTGTCTGCTACATTGGGTGAGCTAATCAGGGCAGTGCTGGAAAGTTATCGCCTGGATGGTGATGATGATCAATCCAGCTACCACCCAGACCCAGAACCAGGACTACAAGAAAACCCATCCCACATCCAACTTATCAATGAACTGCTGAAGTATGTGAAGGGCCTAGACCTGCACATTCAAAGCTATATGATCTTCATGACACTAGTCACACCAATAGGATATCCAAGAGGAGTCCCAGTGAGGGCCAAGTATTGAGTCGTAAATGTAACAATTACTCATTGCAGTGAACACTTCTAAGTAAAGATGCATGGAATAAAGGGTATATTGTGTGATTCACTGGGCCACACTACAGCATCCACAAGATTTTTATTTGTTTTTGTCTTTTTGGTTTCACTTTTAAATTTTGTTTTTTGGGAGAGGTTGCAGCGCAAGTGGATGAGGGGGTGTGATGAGTGGGATCAGTATGTATGATGTGAAATCCACAATTAGTAAACAATTAAAAAATTCTTGGTTAGCATGCATTAGTTCTATATGCTATGTACATATTATATGCTGGTTAATTTAAATATATACAAACCCAATTATTGATACATATAATATATTATACTAATATAATTATTAATGCAATCAATATATTTGTTAATATATAATTCCATAATTTAATCTCACTTGAATGTTTATGCATTTAGTGTTGTATTTAAAATATAATTTTCTGTACTAGTGTCTTGAAAATTTCCTGTTTTCCTCTAATAATGTCAGTCTTAATATTTAGTTCTTTGTTCCATTTCAAATTGAGTTTTGTGCAGAATGAGAGATGAGGGTGATGTTTAAATCTTCTGTGTTTAGATGTCTACTTTACAACACCACCCTTTAATGGAAAGACTTCTCCATTCTTTGTTGTATATTTGGGGGCCTTGTCAAGAATTATTTGGCTGCAGATGTTTTATTTCTGGGATTGGTACTGAGCTCCATTCATTTGTGTGTCTTTTTTTTTTTTCTTTTTCAGACCTCACACTATGTGGCTGGCTCTGATTGTATAGAATAGCTATTTCTTAAATTCAATTATTGTGATGTCTCTATTTCTACATGGACTTTTAGAATTTTTTTTTTATAGCTTCATGAAGAATGCCATTGGCATTTTGAGAGGGATTGTATTAAGTTTGTAAATTGTTTTGGGGAGCTATGGATGTTTTAACTATTAATTCTTTCAATACTTGAACATGGGAAAATTTCAGTATTTTTATGCCTTTCATTACTTTTATTAGAATTTTGTAACATTCATTGTAGAATTCTTTTACTTCCTTGGTTAAATTTGTTTCTGTGCTTTTATTTTATAGCTATTGTTATGAGCTTGCTCTCCTGATTTTCTCATCTTTCCTGGTATGTTAAAATGCTGTTGAGTCAGCTAGAAATAAAACTCAGTAGTAGAGCATTTCCCTAACATTTGTAACACCCTGGGTTTTATTCCTAGGACCACCAAAAATAACATTAAAATGCTACTGAGGCATTTTGCTTTGTTTTTAAGAGAGAGAGGATCATGCTGTGATAGCCCTAGAAGTCATTGTATAGCAAGGCTCACCTCCATCTGCTGATCTGTTTGTCTCAACTTTCCAAGTGTTGGAATTACAGGTTTGTGCCATCGTGCTTGGTTGCAATGAGTTTTGTTTGTTGGCTTTGTATCCTGCAATATTACTGAATTCTTTTATTAGTTCTAATAGTCTTTTGGTGAAATTTTTAGGATTTTCTATATGTAGTATTGGATCATCAACAATTAGGATAGTTTGACTTCATGCCTTTCTAGTTGTATATCCTTTATTTCTTTCTCATGCTTAATTGGTTTAACAAAGACTTCTGGCACTATATTCACTGAAAGTCATAACAGTAGACACCCTCCCTGTTCTAGATGCCCAGTATAGTGTGGCTCGAATTTATAATTGTGATTGAGTCATTATGAGATACAGATTCTGGTCTCATTATCTACCAGTCTGTCTTTAATTTCATTCAACATATTTTTTAGGTTATTTCAGCTCCAGAATTTCTGTATTTCATTTTTCTGAGTTTTTTCTTTGCTTTTACTGAGATTGCTTACTTTTGTATTCATTGCAAGCATAGTTATAAGTACTACTTTAAAATCTTTGCCTACTACTTTAGACATCTGACCTCCTGTAGAGTTCAAGGATATTGACTACGTTTTTCATCTCCCACAACCCAAGAATAGAGCTTATTTATGAATTTGTTTATATGCACAGCATATAAAAATCTATCCTGGACATGATGAATATCATACTCTTAATACTACTGTGTTCTCCTCAGTAATATGCTATTAAGCCTTTGTTTCAGCAGGATAAAAATTTGGTTTGAGGTTGTGGAGGTCTTGTACTTACGAGGACAGCCGAAACTTTGGTTCCATGCTTTCAGTCTTAGCTCTTTAGATTCTGTTGTTCTTAAGATGAGTTAAGATTCAGACAGAGCTTTGAAAATAGTTTACATATAAAAATTTTGGATATCACAGAGTTGGGCATGTAGCTTAGTAGTTAGTTTAGCACTTATCTAGGAGTTTTGGATATCATCTTTGACTTGTTTTTGCAGGATTCACCTTTCATAGTCTCTGTTGCCACTTGGTCTTTGGTAGTTTCTCCAATAAGAAAATTTTCTGTGGGAGTTTATCTTTTCTGGGTACAGTCTTGAGTTTACTTACAGAATGGAAGGTTCTAAAACAGCAGCTTTTTCATTGCTGCTTACTTTTTCAGTAATTTGTGTCCTATCCCACCTCCAGAAAAATCTTTCTTTTGATCACTTTTCTGTGCCTTTTTATAGTTATCTGTAGGATTACGAGTCTAGTAGAGGAGTTCTTGTCAGTTCTCTGACCAGGTCCTGAATTCATTACTTCTTAGCACATAAATTATCATACCTAATAAAATGATTCAGTTTATATGACGTACTGGGTTGAAGCGGGTTAATGGTCTTACTTGCACATTGAGAAAATAGAAGTAATAGTAGATGATAAAAACGATTTTAAGGATAATGAAAACCCTGTTTATAGATTATGTTAAATGCATTTGATCTGTTAAACTGTTTGTGGAGACTTAAGACTTTACTTGAAAGTTTAAGATTTTCCCTTGTTTCCCTTTTGTTTGTTCCCTTATAGTGCTGTTTATCTGTCATTCTAGTGTCTCAGGAGGCTGAGGCACATTGGCTATTGGAGCTTAGAAGTCTGAGTAACATAGGAGCATCTATTGCAAAAACATTCAACGACAACAACAAACCTTTTACTTGCTAACGTGTGTGTGTGTGTGTGTGTGTGTGTGTGTGTGTGTGTGTGTGTGTGTAGGGGTGCATTCACCTGTGTAAGCACATGTACAGGCTAGAAGTTCATCTTAGGATGTCTTCCTCATTTTTCCACCTTACTTTTTAAGAGAGACCCTCTCAATGATTTTTGAGCTCACCATTTTGGCTAGATCAGTCAGCAGGCAGGTTCCAGAATCTGCCACAATCCAACTGTCTCCACCCTTCAGTGCTGAAGTTAACAGATGTTAGCCACCATGTCCAGCTTTTTATGTGAGTGTTGGGGATCTGAATTCTCGTCCTCATGTTTTCACAACCAGCACTTTACCCACTGAGTCATCCTCATAGCCCCTATTTGTAATATTTTTTCCTTTAGCATGAAAATAATTTTATTTATAAAGTTTAGATATACAGCATGTTGTATCTAATGTCATCTGTTGTACATAAAATCATATGATTAGTTAAATTAATATATCTATAATCATACATTTCTTCTTTTCTGTCTCCTCCACCCTTATAACTGAAGATACTTCCTCATCAATTTTACACTATAGAAGTATTACCAACTATAGTTATCAAGATTATAGTCTTACTTCTTACTCAACTTACATGACAATCTTTATCTTATTATTTGTAGCTCAAAATTTCTCCTTTTCTAATGTTTCAATTGAACCTTAATTTCCTTCAAATTTGATAGCATCTGTATGTTTTCATTTAATTTTGAGAGTGATTATCTATAGGGTTTCTTTCATATACTTTCTTTGCACAATTAATTTTGTGGTCTAGAATTGGAACAAAGTACTTTCAAGTAATTTAAAAGATCAATTGCATTTTTACTTCAAGGCAGACTGAATCTACTTTATAAAATCTCTTTAGGTCCAGGTCAAGACCTCGTCCACGTTCCCATAGTCGAAGCAGTGAAAGATCCAGTCATAGAAGAACCCGTAGTAGGTCAAGGGACAGAGACCGACGTAAAGTACGGGACAAAGAGAAAAGAGAAAAGGAGAAGGACAAAGGCAAGGACAAAGAAGTTCACAGTATCAAACGTGGGTGAGTTGCTAAGAATCTAATGTAGTGAAGATTAATAATTCCACAACAGCTTGCAAACTTTTTCTCTGAGGTGCTTCCTGTTTCTACCCTTGAGGATTAATTCCTTTAGGAATAAAAGAAGGTAAGGACTTGCCAGTATCTTACATGTTTCTTGGAGCATTTATTCTCTAAAAAGTTATTCTGTTAATTTTAATAACATTTAACTTTTCTTACATCTTTTCCAGTTTTTTGTCTCTACCTAACTTTTTAAAAAGAATTTTAAAAAATTTGAAGTTATGTGTATGTGTGTGATTGCATGGGGGCACATGTATGTCTTAGTAGAGTTTCTATGGCTGTAAAGAGACACCATGACCATAGCAACTCTTATGAAGAAAAATATTTAACTGAAGTAGTGACTTATAGTTTCAGAGGTTCAGTTAGCATGGTGGTGTGCAGGAATATGTGGCATTGGAAGAGTAACTGGGAGAGTGCTACATCTCGCAGGCAACAGGAAGTTAGCTGAAACACAAAGTATAGGACCTCAACGTTTGCCCCACAGTGACACGCTTCCTCTAGCAGGGTCTTACCGAGTCTTATAAAACCACGCCTCCTAATGTGCCAACTCCCTATGAGATTATGGGGGCCAGTTACGTTCAAACTACGACAGAGCGCGTGTTCAGGTTCCAGAGGAGGTCAGAGAGGGTGTGAGGGGGGCATCTGATGTTCAGTAGCTAGAGTTCATGGCAACTGGGAGCTGCAAACTGAACTCTGGTCCTCTAAGAGTTTCAGGTTCTCTTAACTCATGAGTGCTGCTCCAGATACTTTGTGTTTAGCTTTTATAAAGTCATGTGTACACTGATGATACGAAGTCCCATCTGGATTGTTGGCCTTTAAATTCTTTTTGAAATGTTACCCTTGCGGCAAAAGTTTAAAAGATTAGTAAATTACTATGTAATTTTTTTCTTGATTATTGCTGTGGCAAAATAGCTGACAAATGCAACTTTAGGAAGGAAGGTTCTTTTCGGTGTTAAAGGTACAGGCCATCATCAAGATGTCATGGTGGCAGGCACTCAAGACAACTGGTCCCAAAGCTCTGTAGTAAGGGTGCAGATAGAGGTGAATGTTGATTTTCAGCTCGTTTTCTCCTTTTTCTTCAGTCTGGGACCCCAGACTGTGGAATATGCCACCCATATTAAGGGTAGATCTTCTCACCTCATTTAGCCCAGGCTATAAAACCCTTTATCAACAGGCTTACAGGTTGTCTCCTAAGTGGTTCTAGATTCTGTTAAGTTGACAACCAGTATTAACCATCTCATAATAGGTATCCAGCTACATGTGTAGAAAGACTGAGTTAGCCAGGTGAAGACTCAGGAAAGGTACAGAGGCAGTTTCTTGGTAAAGAGAGAAAGTCAGTATAATGATGTATTTGGAGGGTGCTGATGTAGAGTAAGTTTCAAAGACTGGGAAATATGGATTAAGAACTGCCTTATTCTTTAGTTATTTATAAGTTATTCTTATTTTTTTTCATTTAGCTTTATTTACATAACCAGGAAATATGACCTTGTTTTTTTCACTGAATAGTAAATATCTACTTTCTGTTTCATCACAGTTTTCATTTTAAATGTTTTTTAAGTATCAAAAATTCCATTAAGCAGTTGACACTTGTTATCTAACACCTTCATTAAATAGGTACCTTTATTTGCTATCCTAATTTCTATTTTTGTTGTTATTATTGGTATTTCAAAATATCTGAGAAATGAGAAAATTATTTTAAAGGAGAAAAGCCTTTTTTTTTTTTTTTTTTTTTTTGCTCATAATTTCAGAGGTTTCAACCCATGGTTCCTTGGGTCTGTTGATTTTAGGCCTATGGGAAGGTACAAACATGGTACAAGAGTATGATAGAGGAAATCTCTTGGCATCCAGGATACAGATATAAGAGAAAGAGGGACAGAAGGGGCAAGGTATATTCCCAAAGACAACACCCCTAGTGACTTTCCCCATCTGTGTCATTCCTCTTGCTTAGCCCATTCAGTAGGAACCCATCAGTGGATTAACCCATTGTGATTTGGTTTCTAATTCAAACTGTATCTTCTCACAACTGCATACTGTTTTAAATTTTGTAGTGCACCATAATTACTAATAATGAGAATTGGTGATTGAGATCAAATGATATTCTATTTTTTATGGTTTTTTTAAAAATTAGAAGCATTCATGCTTCAAATGTCAATCCCAGCTCCCTCTCCCACCCCTCCTCCCTGCCCCCCCCCCGATCCCCACATCATTCCCCAGGAAGAATGAGGTCCTCCAGAGTCTGTCATTTCATCCAGGGCAGGACGTAGGCCCTTTCCCTGTGTCCAGGCTGAGAGAGCTTTCCTCCATGTGGAATGGGCTCCTAAAGTTCATTTGTACACCATGGTGAACACTAATCTTCTACCTAAGGCCCCAGAGATTTCTGAGGCCTCCTTACTGACACTACATTCATGGAGTCTGGATTACTCCCCTGTTGGCCTCTCAGCCATCAGTCTGGGGTTCAAGGGCTCCCCTTGTCCAGTCAGTTGTCTTAGTGGGTTTCACCAGCACGGTCTTGACCCCTTTGCTCATCACTCCTCCATCCCTGTCACTGGCTTCCAGTGGGTCAGTTCAGTGTTTAGCTGTGAGTAGTCTCTGCTTCCATCATTCACTGGATGAAGGTTCTAGGATGTCACATAAGGTAGTCACCAGCCTTATCATCAGGTAGGGGGTATTAATGTAGTCTCTCCACTATTGCTTAGTTTTCCAGTTGGTGTTATCCTTGTAGATCTCTGGAAATCTCCCTAGTGTCAGCTCTCTTCCTCAAAGCTATAATGACTCCATCTATTATGGTATCTCTCATCCTGCTCTCCTCTATTCTTACCCCAACTCAACCTTCCTGTTCCCCCATATCTTCTTCTCACCTCCTTTTATCTCCCTCTCTTTCTCCTGGTTCCCTCTCCCCTCCCACCATATTCCCAGTCTGCTCAGGAAACCTTGCCTCATTCTACTTCTCTCAAGTATAATACATATTTCTTGGGAACCTCCCTGTTTCCCAGACCCACTTGCTCTGAGATTGTAGGCTGACACTCCCCTGATCCATGTCTAAAATCCATATATGAGTGAGTACATACCATGTTTGTCTTTTTGTGACTGGGTTACCTCACTCAGGATGGTTTCTTCTAATGCTGTCCATTTGCCTGCAGATTTCAAGATTCCATTGTTTTTTTTTCTGCTGAATAGTACTCCATTGTGTAAATGTACCACATTTTCTTCATCCACTCTTCAGTTGAGGGGCATCTAGGTTGCTTCCAGGATCTAGCTATTACAAATAATGCTGCTATGAAAGTAGTGGAACAGACATCCTTGTTGTATGAATGGGCATCTTTTGGGTATATGCCTAAGAGTGGAATTGCTGGATCTTGTGGTAGACTGATTCCCATTTTCCTGAGGAATCTACATATTGATTTACAAAGTGACTGTACAAGTTTGTACTCCCACCAGCAATGGATGAATGTTCCCCTTTTTCCACATCCTCTCTAGCATAAGCTGTCATTGATGTTTTTTATTTTAGCCATTCTGTTAGGAGTAAGATGGTATCTCAGGGTTGTTTTGATTTGTATTTCCCTAATGGCTAAGAATGTTGAGCACTTTCTTAAGTGTCTCTCAGCCAATAAATACATATTTCTAAATATATTTATATATTATATATATTTAAAAGCTTCTATAGTGCTAGGTTGGGAGAGGAGGTGAGGGAGAGGGAGCTGGGATTGACATGTGAAGTAAGCTTGTTCTAGTTTAAATTAAATAAAAAAGAAAACAGATTTTTCTTAATATTATTATTGTATTGTAATAAGAAGTAACATTATTTTGTTAACCTTTTTTTTTGAGAACTTCGTTCATGAGCACATCTAAATCACTCCTGTTTCTCTTTGCTCCCAACTCCTTCTTTGTCCCCTAACTCCCCTCCACATACATGACTGCTTCCTTAATTATTGTTAAAGTATACGTGTGTATAACATATTGAGTCCATTTAGTATTGTTCATATGTACATGTGTTCAGGACTGAATATTTGGAATTGGACAACCTATGTGGGAGCTTATCCCTGGAAAAATGTTATTCTCCCTCTTTCAGCAGCCAGTGAATATAATTCTTCACCTAGGGATGAAATCTTGTGAAGTTTTCCCCATCCATGTTGGCATGTAAACTAATGTTGTCCTTATGCAAAATCTTGTACAGGAACCATATTGTTGATATTCTTTGGTTCAGTTTTTTTTTTTCTCATATGTGGAAGACATATGAGAAGACATTTCACAGCAGGGCTCCAGTCCTCTGGTTCTTACAATGTTCCCTGAGGTTAAAGCAGAATAATTGAGTTGTGGATGTATCATGTGGGGTTTGGTACCTTCTCTGAATTTTGGCCACTTGTGGATCTCTAAACTAGCCTCCACCCACTGCAAAAAGTAACATCTTCAATGAGGGGTGAGGTCCACACTTAATTGTAGGTATATGTGTATTTAGGTTAAAATTAGAAATTATATTAGTTAAGAAAAATGGCAGTAATAGGTTCTCCTCTAGGGTCTATGATATTCTGGCCATGGTTAGTTAACTATGTTTATAGTATCATGCATATTCCTTACTATTGAACAAGTCTTGAGTCCTATTAGACACTTGTTGGCCACCCCCATGATAAAAATACCATTATTGTTTCACTGGGGATATCTTGATACTTATTTTTTAAACTGTTACTAAGAGACAATACTCAGAAACTTGAAACATCACAGGGTCTCATTCTTGCAACTTGGTGTGATGAGGCTGAACATTATGTATCTCGGCAGCATCACTCATGGATTAGTGCATTAGGGTTCTTTACCAACATCTTGATCAACATGCAATAATACATAGTTAACTTCTTTAGAACATCTTTTGAAGCATTTTGGAAAACCGTATGAATAAGTAAGTAGCCACCATTCTACTATTCTGAAATCATAGTGCCATCTTCAAGAGTAGA